AATGGCTGTGTAATAGCCATAATGGAACATTCCCAAAATAAGTCTCAGTAATGTCTTTTGTTCTATCTACCTATCTACCTAAAATAGACAAGAAATTAGATACCGGCATACCTGGTTTTATTGCACTTTGCTTTATTGTGCTTCACAGATACTGTGTTTTTTACAAATTAGAGGTTTATAGCAACCCTGCGTTGAGCAAGTCTGTTGGTGCCATTTTTTCCAACAGCATGTGCTCACTGTATGTCTCTGTGCCCCATTTTGGATTTTAGTAATTATCACAATATTTCAAACATTTTCACTATTTTTATGTCTGTTATAGCAACCTATGATCAGTGATCTTTGATGTTACTATTGTAATTGTTTTGGGGCCACCACAAAGCATGCCCGTGTGAGACTGTGAACTTAATCAATGTTGTATGTGTTCTGCCCGATCCACTGACAGGGTGTTTCCCTCTCTCTTTCCCTCTCCTCAGGCCTCCCTAATCCCTGAGATATAAAAATATTGAAATGAGGCCAATTAATAACCCTACAATAGCCTATAAGTGTTTAAGTCAAAGGAAGAGTTGAATGTCTCTCACTGTAAATGAAAAAGTTGAAATGATCAAGCATAGTGAGGAAGGCATGTTGGAAGCTGATAAAGGCCAAAAGCTAGGCCTCTTGAGCCAAACAGTCAGCCAAGGTGTGAATGCGAAGGAAACGTGCTTCAAGGAAATGCAAAGTGCTGCTCCAGTGAACACCTGAATGATAAAATGAGACCACCTTATTCCTGCATGGAGAGAGTTTGAGTGGTCTGGACAGAAGAGCAAACCAGCCACAGCATTCCCCTAAGGCAAAGCCTAATCCAGAGCAAGGCCCCAACTCTCTCCAATTCTATGCAGGCTGAGAGATGTGAGGAAGCCGCAGAGGAAAAGTTGGAAGTCAGCAGAAGTTGGTTCATGAGATTTAAAGAAAGAAATTGTAACATAAACGTGCAAGGTAAAATAGCAAGTGCTGATGTAGAACCTGCAGCAAGTTATCCAGAAGATCTTAGCTAAGATAACTGCTGAAGGTGGCCACCCTGAACAGATTTTCAATGTGGATGACACAGACTTATATTAGAAGATACAACTAGGACGTGCATAGCTAGAGAGGAGAAGTTAATGCCTGGCTTCAAACCTTCAAAGAACCAGCTAACTCTCTTGTTAGGGGCTAATGCAGCTGATGAATTTAAGTTGAAGCCAGTGCTCATTTACTATTTTAAAAATCCTAGGGCCCTTAAGAATTATGCTAAATCTACTCTACCTGTGCTTTGTAAATGGAACAACAAAGCCTAGATGACAGCACATCAGTTTACAGCATGGTTTACCGAATATTTTAAGCTCACTGTTGAGACTTTCTGTTTGAACAAAAAGATTCCTTTCAAAATATTACTGCTAATTGATAATGCACCTGCTTACACAAAAGTTTCGATGGAGATGTACAAGAAGATTAATGTTGTTTCCATGCCTGCTAACACGACATCCATTCTGCAGCCCATGGATTAAGGAGTAATTTTGACTTCCAAGTCTTATTACTTGAGAAATACATTTTGTAAGGCTATAGCTGCCATCAATAGTGACTCCTCTGCTGGATCTGGGCAAAGTAAATTGAAACCCTTCTGTAAAGGGTTTACCATTCTAGATGCCATTAAGAATATTCATGATTCATTAACATTGTTAACATTGGTGAAATGACAATGAAGGATTTAGAATATTTCATCAGCTTAATTGATAAAGCAGTGGTAGGATTTGAAAAGACTGACTCCAATTTTTTGTTTGTTTGCTTTTTGAGACAGGGTCTCACTCTGTTGCCCAGGCTGCAGTACAGTGGTATGATTGCAGCTCACAGCAACCTCAAACTCCTGGGTTCAAGCGATCTTCCTGCCTTAGCCTCCCGAGTAGCTGGCACTACAGGCATGTGCCACCATGCCTGGCTAATTTTTCTATTTTTTGTAGAGACAGGGTCTTACTCTTCCTCAGGCTGGCCTTGAACTCCTGGCTTCAAGCAATCCTCCAGCCTTCAAAGTGCTTGAATTACAGGTGTGAGCCACCACACCAGGCCTTGACTCCAATTTTGAAAGAAGTTCTTTGGGTGAAATGCTATCAAATGGCATCAAATGATATAGAGAAATCTTTCAGGAAAGGAAGAATGAATCTATGGGAAAAATCTTATTGTTGTCTTATTTTAAGAAATTGCCACGGCCACCCCAACCTTCAGCAGCCACTATCCTGATTAGTTGGCAGCCATTGACATTAATACAACACCCTCTACCAGCAAAAAGATTACAACTGTTGAAGGTTCAGATGATTCTTAACATTTTTTAGCAATATTTTAAAATTAAGGTATGTATAGTGTTTTTTTTTAGACATAATGCTATTATACACTTACTAGACTACAATATAGTGTAAACATAACTTCAATTTGCACTGGGAAACCAAAACATTTGTGTGACTCGCTTGATTGCCATATTCACTTCATTGCGGTGATCTGGAACCAAACCCACAATGTCTGTGAAGTATGTCTGTACCAAATCCAAGCATTCTTTGTAATCAGCTCTTAAAACTGTTGTCAGTCCATGTTTATGTGTTTTAGCTTTTGTTCTGTGAAGTTGTTTTCGGAAGTGTTCCAATCTTTGTTTTAAGAAAAGGTCAGATGCTAAGCAGATTGGAACCTGGGATAGAATACCATGAGATGCTGGAGTTCATTCTGCAGTTATGGAAAACAAAACCCTTAGAGGGGAGGGCCAGCAGGCAGAGCCTGGTGAAGTTCACTAAACCTGGAGTTTCTCCCCTGCACCTCTGCGCCTCATCTCTGGGACTGCCCCCTGGTGGTGGGGAGGGACAGTAACGGCTGGTCCTAGCAACCTCCAGTTCTGTCTCCTTTCCTTCTCCCCTGGGCACTAGAAGGGCATTATTTGGGCAGGAGGATAAGATACTAAAAAGGAGAGAAGCTTTCTTCCTAGTTATGTAGATGCCAAGACTAATAAAATAGTTTTGGATAAGGTAGAAGAACCAAAACTCTCTTCTTTCTCCCACTGCCATCCTCTCTCTCTCTCTCTCTCTCTCTCTCTCTCTCACACACACACACACACGCACACACACGCACACGCACACTTATACACACATACATACACACACAAAAATCATATGATTGCTCAGCCATATGACATTCTCCCTGCTGGTGGACATTCTGATTGTTTTGGATGCTTCAATATTATAAATTCATTTTGGTGATGAACCTTTTATGTACATCTTTGTACATCTTGGTAAGTTACAAAGGCCCCCTTCCTTGTCCCTTACTTCCTTGTAGCATTACAACCTCCCATCTTCCCGTCCTGGAGTCAGAGAGGCTGCAGAAAGAAGTTGCAAGAGCTATTTGCAAGAGAATTATGTGAGCAGAATTCTGGGGGCAATGACAGCCTGTTTTCATAGCAGGTGAAAATGGGTGGCACAAGGTGGCAAAAGGCTGTTTTCCCTACTTCCATCATGATACCCAGAGTCCCATGGCTCTGTCTCTGGGGAATGTGCTGTTTTAGCCTTTGGGGGTGAGCAGTACAGCAGCAGCAGCAGTGGAGCTGGGAGCAGTGACTGTCTGCTTGGCAACCAGCACCTTCAAACCAGTCTTCAGAGAGCAGAGGTCCGAGGAGCAAGTTCACTTATCTGGAGGGGTGCTACATGGCATTGTGTGTGAGCTTACATGGAATACCCAGTAGGGAAGACAAATATAATCTGGGGAAGCAGCTAATAGATGGACCACTAAACAGGACCACTAAAATATGGGTGATCACTCCATGTAACCATTTCCAGCAACCAGTGTTGAGCTGGGGAAACGTGGAAAATTGCTATTTATTGAGCACTTACATATACTGGCTCATGGAAACCTCGAAACAACTTTACCTGGTAAGGCCACGTGCATCCTAATTGTAGGGGAGGCAGGCAACTGGGCCATAGAGAGGTTAAGTAACTTGCCCCTGGTCATCCAGCTAGTAACGTGCCAGGCCATGGATTTGCACCCAGGTTTTGTAGTGTCCAACATTCTCACTGTTGATCATTACATTATGATACTGTCCTGTTAAATAACAACTCATGGCTGAGCTCTGTGGCTCACACCTGTAATCCGGGAGGATCACTTGAGGCCAGAAGTTTGAGAACAGCCTGAGCAACATAGTAAGACCCTGTCTCTACAGAAAATAACAATAAAAATATTATCTGGGCATGGTGGCATGTGCCTGTAGTTCTAGCTACTTAGGAGGCTAAGGCAGGAGTATCTCTTGAGTCCAGGAGTTTGAGTTTACAATGAGCTATGATGATGCCACTGCACTCCAGACTTGGCAACAAAGTGAGACCCTGTCTTTAAAAAAAATTCACAACTCCCTTTAGGGGAAATTCAAGTAGAAATCTTATCAGCCATTCTTTATTCTTGTTTTGTCTCCATTTTTCATGAGTTAAGGGGGCACGCCCCTCTTGTGGATCCATCAAATGTCCATACAAGTCATCTGCTTTTTCTTCTGGAGTTCTGAAGTACTTGATGCACCTTTAGACCTGCTTTTTGTTGTATTTTTGGTTGATAATCTGTTGAAAGTAGTTCTTTAGATAATTGTGCCATCATTCTTCATGTCTAAGGAATAACCCTTCCCCATAGTGGAAAAGTTATAGTTACCCATAAAATAACAACTTTCAAGAAGGAATTTGTCTCAGATTGGGGCAGAGTGAGTCAATTTTGATTAACAGCCTCTAGGGAACTTGTCTCTTGTGATGAAACTTCCTTGTGAAGTGTGGTTAGATTCTTTTATCCCTTCTTAATTGTCTGTTCAGTGGCCTCACCTCTAGCATTCACCTCTCCTGGACACACAGTTTGATAAACATCCCCTCTCAGCTAGCATCTTGTCTCTGAGGGCAGAAACACTTCGGAAACTTCACCACTTTTTAAAGGAAAGTCTTTGAGAATCAAGCTTTGATCATCCTGACTGGCTGACTTCATTCTTTTTTTTTTTTTTTTTTTTAATTTTAGAACCTTGGTCACTCTTTGATGACTTCATTCTTTGATGCTGTGGTTTCCATTTTGTTTTCTGAGCTTTATCAGCTTTGTGAATCTTAGTCTGGGTTTTCCTTGTGAAAACTTTTGAAAAGATTATTTTTGGAGCACTCAAGGCAAGCAAGTTCAACTTGAAGCGGTGGGACAGTGAAGGCAGACTTCCTCCAAAGCTTTAGCCTGGGGAACACTACAGGGTTCAAACTTCCAGGTGACAGATGTGGGGCACCAGGACTGGGGCAGGGCCCTGCAGTGCCGGGAGTTCCCAGCCTGTGACTCTGCCTTGCCTGGCAGTTCAGGTCACACTCACCCTCGGCTACTGCCTCTGACCTAGGAACTCTCCCTTCTTCTTCATCACACCTGCAAGGTGGGTATTAAGATACCCTTTTCACAGATGGGGACACTGAGGAACAGAGACATGAAGCAACTTGCTCAAGGTCATGTGGCTGGTGAGTGGGGTCTGCCTGCCACCAATGCCAGGGACGCCTCCCTTGGAACCATCAGCGTCCAAGGGAATGAGAATGTCAGAGGGAGCGCGACCTGGGATGGCAGGAAGAGCGCAGCACAGAATGCCAAGTCTTGTCACGCCACCTGCATCTGGGACTGCACCAAGCTCCAGGAGCGCCCCTTGGCCAGGAAATAGGATAGAAAATTGCCTGCATTCCTCCATGTCCCGGGCTGGATGTGAGGATGCAGGAGTGCAGGGGAGGGCTCTGGACACAGTGAGGTGCTTCGGCACCCACTGACAGTCGCTCCACTGCCACTGGAGAGCAGCCACCAAGTCTGTTCCGCCCAACGGCAGCAGCTGAAACGCAACCAAGACAACGTCGCCAGGACGGAAGACCCATCTCCTTTCTTTCTTTGAGAGTCTGAAGGTGACTGGAGAGTCAGAAGCTGTCCCAGGGCCACAGTCAGACAAACCAAGCCGTTCCTGAAAGTGCAGGAACTGTCACGGGGTCCCAGGGTGTAGATGAAAGAAGCAAAACACCTAGAAGCAGCAGCAAAGGACTTTCTAAGAGTGACACTATTAGAAGGCCCAGCAGAGGCAACAAAGCAATCTCTTTGGGCCTAGTAAAACAGAAATCATTTGGGACAAAAAAGAAACAAAACAACACAAAAAAACCAAAAATTCACAGTGCGCTTGTAACAACTGCTGAAAGGCAGCCCCTGGTAATCAGCTGTTGAAGGGGCATGAGAGCCACCGCAGGGGCCTGGATGGGTCTCTCTTGGTGCATCGGGGCATGATGACATATGACAGATGTGTTTTCCCCCATCCAAGAGACACCAGGGAACAAATTTGTACCAGGGAACAAATACCTGGGACCTTCATTCTGCCTCGGGAAAGAAGGAGGCCTAGCTCTGGTCGTCTGACCAAAGGATTGGCCTGTTCTCTGGCAAAAGCTCTGGGCTCCAGGCCTGTCCTGCCCCCAGTGAAAAGGGGATGGTGGCTCCTGTGGCCACGTAGAGTCAGGCTTGGAAGGACACTCACTTGTCTGAGATGTATATGTGCACCATGGAACACTACTCAGCCATAAGAAAGGATGAATTCATGTTTTTTGCAACAATTTGGTTGGAACTGGAGACCATGATCCAACATGAAGTATCTGAAGAATGAAAAAACCAACACCACATCTTTTCGTTATTATATTGGAACTAACTGATGAGCGCACACATGCACAGAGGGATGTAAAACTCAGTGGAAATCAAGCACTGGGGAGTGGGGAGGAAGGGACGGGTGAATATCCACCTCATGGCTACAATGAATGCTTTCTGGGAGATGGGCACACTTACAGTCCTGACTCAAGTGTAACAAAAGCTATCCATGTAACTAAAAACATTTTTACCCCCATAATATTTTGAAATTAAAAAAAGCATAAGTATATATTTTAAAAAACTAACTCAGTAAGAATACTGTTGAATCTGCTCTTGCAAGCCTGCTGGGGTTGCCCTTGGTGCCAGTGATGCCTGGTGCCTGGGCCGCGGCGGTGATGGGCCCTTCTGGAGCCCAGGCCCAGGTGGTGGAACATTCTCCAGCCAGGTCCTGGGTGCTAGAAACTTCCTGCTGTAAAAAGTTGGGGAGGCAGCAGCAGCAGCGGCAACAGAAGGAATAATACCAAGCAGGGTCCCCGGACACCATGGCTCCCCATTTTCCTGGATGTCCCTATGACCTTAGCTCACTCTTGGGTTCTTGAGCTAGGGCCCAGGTTCTCTGAGTGCAGGCCACCTCTGGCCACTCTCTGTGGCCTCTGCCTGTGCCCAGGGGCCACACCCCTCCTGCCCTACCACCAGTGTACACTGCGGCCCAACACCAGTTACCTGCCCAGATCGCAGGGAGCAGGGGCAGTGTCTGGCTCTGGGTACACCTGCCTCAGCTACCTGCCTGCCCTTCCCCCACCATGTTGTTCCCTGTTGTTATCACTGACAGGAAGGTTGACATGGTGACTTTGTGACCTGCAGCTCTGCCCAGTGTTCTGCATGCTGACCATCTCAAGTGGGAGTCACAGGGCCGTTGAGGGGTGTAAGAGGAAGGCTTCGTGCTCCTTGCTGCCCTCCCAGGTGTCCCTTCACATCCCCTCAGAACCTGCCTTTGTGTTAAGTGACAGAGCTACCTGAGGTGGCTCAGGTAGGAGGGGGGTCAAGGAGCTGGGAGGCCGGGGTTGGGAACAGAGACAGCATCTGCGTGACCACTGACGTGCCCCAGGGGAGGGCGGGATCTAGAAGGTGGTGAGGACTGTGCAATGTTGCCAACGTCCTTGTGAACAAGGGACGTGCCCGTTTTCTACTGCCATGTACGAAACCACCCCTGTCTTAGTGACCCAAGGACCATCTTATTATGCTCACAGGTTCTGAGGATCAGACATTAGGAGAGGGCAGGGTGGGGAGGGCACGTGCAGGCTGAGCTGGCCGATTATGATTATCGTGGCCACACAGCGAGCCCCAGTGGTGGAACCCATTAGCCGTCTGCTGCGGGGAGTCAGGGGTCTGCAGTTCCCGGAGGGCTGGGCGGGGTCCTGACAGGCAGGCTGAGCAGGGTGGACACCTGCCTCTGGGTGGGGCACATGCGTTCCTGGTCTGTACACGGGTGGTTGGAAGAGGTCCCACGCTCAGGGACCAGGGCAGTCTTCACTCAGGTTGGAGTCCCTCAAAGTGTCTGAGATGTGCATGCCGGGTGTCCCTTACAGGTGAGATTCCTTCAGTCCCACAGTGACTGCTTCTCACCTCCCAAATGCTTCACCCCACAGGCCGCCTGGCATCTCGCCTCCAGCTGAAGAGATGACCACCCCCAGGACAGCTGGGAGGACGCCGGCCTGTCCCCACGTGCCCTCCATCTCTGCTCTTTGATCCGTGGACGCTGGCAGAGAGGGCCTGCCTTTGTTTCCCTCCTCACTGAAGTCAATTCTGCAGTCTGGCCAGGCCCCCATGCCCGCCCTCTTCTCACTGACCCCGCCCCCTTTCCCTGCATCTCCTGCTGCTCCCAGCTCTCCCCTGGGACTCCCAGAGCTCACAGCATGCCCGCCCTCCTGCACGCCCTCCTTGGCCCTTGGCCTTCCCCTCCAGCTCCCCCCCATACCCACGCCAGCTGTCTGCCCTCCTCACATGGCTTGGTGGCCACCTGCTGCACCCACCCTGAAGAGGCCCCCAGGTGGCCCCTGTCAGTGGTCGCATCAATGGCTGGTGGGTCCTGCAGCCCCTGTGCCCGCCCAGGCTGATTCCTGCAAACGCCCCCTGCCTTGCCTTTGCCAGGTGGCTTTCCTTTGTTCCCAGGTGCGACTTTGCTCTCTGCCTTCGATCTGCTTCTCTTCTGGCTGGGCAGTCACCATGCATACCTGTTGGGGCAGTCACAGGGGAAACCTCACTGGCCGCAGACTGGCTCAGGATGACTTCAGGACATGGGAGAATGCAGGGAAGGGGAGGGCAGGAGGGCAAGGACCATTCAAGGCCACCTCAGTGGGTGGGTTATCTCATGGCTGTTGAGGTTCCCTGGATAACAGTGGGCCTTGGGCCAGGGGCAGCGCCAGCAGGTGCCCGAGTCTCAGTGGGTGGGAGTGAGGGCTGGTGTTGGGGAGAAGGGGAGAGGGTGCACAGCTGAGAGGAAGGCCTCTTCCACAGGTGCCCGACAGGGCACAGGGCCCAAGGGCTTGGGTGCGTCAAGCCTTTCAGGGTGCCTGAGCCCGCCCAGCCGGGTGTCTGTTCTGCCCGGCAGGAGGCTGCAGGTTCCCTGGGAGGCGCGTGGGCTGGAACCGTGAGCACTGGGGGCGTAGGGTGGTGCAGCTGCCCCTCCCAGTACTCTTCTTCTTTTTTTTTTGGCATACTTGGGTAAGATTTAAGGTTTCAATAAATGCCCATTTCCCCCCTCCCCCCAAAAGTCTGATCTCCATCATGACTATCCCCCAGATGGCACATCTCACTCATTTATGTATATATACCGCCCCCCTCCTCCCACCTCCCCAATACCCTATTACTGTAGCCCTATGTGTCCACTTAGGTGCTACTCAGTTAATACCAGTTTGCTGGAGAATATATCTGTGCTTGTTTTTCATTCTTGGGATACTTCACTTAGTAGTATGGGTTCCAGCTCTAACCAGGAAAATATAAGATGGTGCTATATCACCATTGTTTCTTAGAGCTGAATAGTACTCATGGATACATATACCCACATTTATTAATCCATTCTTGGATTGATGGGCACTTGGGCTGGTTTCCACAGCCTTGCAATTATGAATTGTGCTGCTATAAACATTCGAGTGCAGGTGTCTTTTTTGAGAGTGTCACTGGACATTTGGGTAGATGCCCAGCAATGGGATTGCTGGATCAAATGGTAGATTCACTTGTATCGCTTTAAGGTATCCCATATGCTTTCCACAGAGGTTGAACTAGTTGCAGTCCCACCAGCAGTGTAGGGTGTTTCCTCTCCACAACCACGCCAGCATTTATTGTTTGGAGATTTTTGATAAAAGGCCATTCTCACTGGGGTTAAGTGATATCTCATTGGTTTTGATTGCATTTCCCTGATGATTAGAGATGTTGAGCATTTCTTCATATGTTGTTGGCACATTCTTCTGTCTTCTTTAGAGAAATTCTGTTCAAGTCCTTTGCCCATTTTTAATGGGTTATTTGATTTTTCTTCCTAATTCCGTGAGTTCTAAGTATACTTGTTATCAGTCCATTATCGGATGCATAGGATGCAAAAATTTCTCCCATTCTGTAGCGTCTGTTTACTTTCATGACTATTTCTTTGGCTGTGCAGAAGCTTTGTAGTTTGATCATGTCCATTTATTTATTTTTGTTGCTGCTGTGATTGCCTTTGGGGACTTCTTCAATAAACTCTTTGCCCAGGCCCGATGTCTAGGAGAGTGTTTCCAACTTTTTCCTCTAGAGTTCTAATATTTCATATCTTAGGTTTAAGTCTGTTATCCAGCGTAGTTGGGTTTTTGTGAGGGTGAGAGGGTGGGTCCTGTTTTAGCCTTCTACAGGTGGCTATCCAGTTTTCCCAGCACCATTTTATGAAGAGAGATTCTTTCCAGCGTATGTTTTTGTCTGCTTTGTCAAAGATGAGATGGCTATATAATGGTTTATATCAGGATTCTCACTCTGTTCCACTGGTCATGTTCCTTTTTTGTGCCAATACCATATTGTTTTAATTACTACAGCTTTGTAGTATAGTTTGAATCTTGGCATATTAATGCCTCCCATTTTGTTTGTTGCCTAGAATTGCTCTGATATTCGGGTCTTCTTTGGTTCCATACGAAGCGTAAAAGTATTTTTCTATATCTGTGAAGAATGCTGATGGGATTTTAATAGGTATTGCATTGAATCTGTAGATCAGTTTGGGTAGTATAGACATTTTGATGATATTGAGTCTGCCGATCCACGAGCATGTATGGATTTCCATCTGTTTACATCCTCTGCTATTTCCTTCCTCAGTTTCATAGTTTCCCTGTAGAGGTCTTTTACATCTTTGGTTAAGTAAATCCTAGTACTTTAATTTCTTTGTTGCTATGTGTAAGGGATTGAGTCTTTGATTTGGTTCTCAATTAGATTGTTTGTTGGCGTATATGAATGCCTCTGATTTCTGTTATGATTTGTACCCTGAGACTTTACTAAATTCATTGATCAGTTCCAGGAGTTTCTTGGTTGAATCCTTGGGGTTTTCTAGATACAATATCATATCATCAGCAAACAGTGAAAGTTTGATCTCTTCTGCCCTATTTGGATACCTTGATTCCATTTTCCTGTCTGATGCTGTAGCAAGACTTCCAGCACTATGCTACAGAAGTGGGATAGTGGGCAGTTGCTCATTCTAAGTGGGAAATGATTAATTTTCCCCATTCAGTATGATTGGCTATGGGTCGTCATATATGGCTTGATCATTTTAGGTAGTCCCCCCTTCTATGCCTATTTTCTTAAGTGTTCGTATCATGAAAGGGTGTTGAATTTTGTCAAAAGCTTTTTCTGCATCTATTGAAAGAATCATGTGGTCTTGTTTTTGCTTCTGTTTATGTGGTGATTGCATTTATAGATTTACATGTTGAACCATCCC